TTACACATATTTCTTTGGTTTAGGAATGATAGGTACCTTAAAAGGTCGGTAGAGAGTTCAGGGACATTCTGTATATTTGGCCTATAACTAGTGTAAAAAATCAACTGAATTCGGTAAAATTCTGTACAAACGTGTTTGTCGAACGAGTTCATGAACTAGCATGATCGACTATAAAGACGAGGTTTTATGAGGTAAAAATTAGTTGTCCCATTTTTAACACTCAAAATAATATATTTTGCAGTTTTTATTCAATTCATATTGTAAAGCTAAAAGACATCCGCCACAGCAACCTGCAGACTAATAGTGAATTTCAATTATATTTTCGCTTAAATATTTCCTAAAACATGCTAGACTTATTCCCTATTTTAGTAACATCAGGTTTAATGAGTACATAGGTTTGTTATTGACAAGAAAGGTAATAAAGTGAGTTTCCACCTGCTAGTAAAATATTGGCTTGAAAGAAAATGAACACATTTGTGTCATGTTTGATCAAAATATATCCATAATCAAGTAAACTGCATCAGTTTACTTATTTTCTTAAGAATAACATGGACATTTTAAATTTAGAACTTTTTGACTTTTTCCTTAACCAATAACCGTACAAAAACACTTTCATATACATTTATTTTGTTTTAAGCCCTTCAAAATGGTTTTAAAAAATTGGGAAATTTATGTTTTGGAGGTCAAAAATTACAATTACCCCATAAAACCCCAACATCGGACTATTTTTGCTCGTGGTAATGGACACATATATAAATAAACAGCTTGTCCCGTAAGTGAGTATGGTGATAAATAATTCAGGAATAGGTTTATTTGGTCAAAATAAAATAAGAATCAAGAATAACATACTTTTTTCAAAAATGCCTCCTTGACAGCCATTTTTGTATTTTTAATTTATTTAAAAAAAACATATAAGGTATCTTTATAAGACTCAATATACAATTGTATCAAGTCACAAATTACTTGAAAAATAAATAATTGCAAAATATTTGTATGACACGAGCACTTTGCGCATTTTAAAATGGCAGCCATCATAAATTTTATAACTAACATTACTAAAAACGGTTGAACAAATTATAATTACATGCATTGTAAAAAAACACGCCATGAACAATTTTATTTAGCTGTTAAAATTCCCTATAAAATGATACCAAGTTCAAAAAGATCAAATTTAAAAAAAATAGTTGAGAAATCACAAAATGAAGCAAATCCTTCCAGTAAGGCCTGTTTTGCCTGGCCTGCACTATACATTTAAAACTAAAAATATTGATTTCTCAGCTAGTTGTTATTTGAGCTTTTGAGCTTGGCGTCATTTGATTGGGAATTTTATAAGCTATTTAAAAGTTTTCTTGTATTTATTTATTAAATCAACAATTCCTTAGCAATTCAAGTTAAAGTATAAAATTGCCACAAATTTGATATACATTTTTTGTATTTATTATTTTTTCATAAATACATTATGACTAGTTTTACTATATACCAAGTTCCGTGAAGATATAAACTAGTTTTTGATAAATAAATTTAAAACACAAAATGTTGGATATCTGGAGGCATTTTTTTGAACAATGTTAATCTGGGTTTCCGTTTGTTTAATTATCTTGACCCAATAACCTATTCCTGGATTATTTCAACTCAATTAGGTACACCCTGTATATGAATTTTAACCGATTGTGTTTTTGCCTGTGGTGACATAAAAACGAAAAAGCAAATCAATTGCGGGCCCAGGTTTTACCAAGAGACCTGCGGTAATAGCTTGTTCCTTACATGGAAAATTCCCTAAAAACCAAATAACTTAGTACATTATTTGGTTACGGTTTGGTTATGGTTACGGAGAAAAAAAAACTATAAATATCCATGTTAACACTATGCAGAATCAGTCAATGTTTTTAGTTTGCTAATTTGTGGATGCATTTTAATCAAATTTTGATTTTACATTGTACGATACTATTAACATTATAATTACAATTAAAAAAACGTTACGTCATACCTTGTAGCAGCAAACCTAAGTATTCAATTAACATAATTTTATTTAAATCAGGAATAAATTAGACATGGTTAATGGAATAGTTCAGTGGAAATCCGATCAGGCGAATTCGCTTCAAAGTGTGCAGGTTTACTGCGGCGGGGGTATTTTACAAATAAAATAACATTATGATTACGCGCGTAATTTTATTTAGTGTATTTAGTTAATTGATTTAGAAAATAATACATTAAATGAAAAGCAACCGTTTTTCGCCTTTCTACCCAATCCCGAGCTCAAAATGGTGTAACTTTATTACTTCATGTTGATGTTTTAGTGTTACCATGACATAAATTAAATAGGTTGGCTTATTGTATCGACATGTTATTCAATTTAAGCAAATTTAATTTATTAATTAACTAGCTGTTACCCACGGACTTCTCCCCGTTTGCCTTTGTATTTAACAAAGATTACTTATGCTACGCAAAATATGTAATACTAGCAGAGAACCCGTCCTTCGTACGGGGTTGGCATATAAGTATAAAATGCTTATTGCAGAGTTATACTCAAGCTTTGCGTTTGCAATGGGGGAGGACACAGTTTGGTAAAATTTGGTTCTTTAAATTTACGGTATGATATACAGTAGTATAACACATCTACCATAGCCATAATGTTTTAACACTGCACCTAAACAATAGAAAAAAATAAATTATCAAACATTCGCACAATATCACAAATTATTCATTAAATTAAAAACATAAACATGACTGGAAACAATCCTACTTTGACAGTTCTCATTGTGTATCACAGCTTTTCGTTGCTGCTTAGTTCAAATTAGCCGTTGCTATATTATATTAAAAAACAAAATGATAATAGTGCTGCACCCTGTTGGGAAAGCTTATCTTTTTAATGCTATATTATTTATAGAACCAAACTCTTATTATACTGTAGAACCAACTTGTTAGGTTGAAACAGCTGACTAAATTTTAATTCCTTTAAAATATAAATACTCATAAGGTTAACATGGGGAACTGCAGAGCCACTGGGGCGGAGCCCGAAAGGAATTTTGAGATAAGAATAGGTCTATATGTTAATCGGGAATGTTAGCTATCATCATGCCAAATTTCAGTACAATCCGTCCAGTATTTTTTCGCGTTTACTTGTCACAAACATACATACATACATCCAAACTTTCTCATTTATAATGTTAGTATGATTTGGTATTAATAAAACTATTGATTGATAAGTTAAGCTGAAATAAACTAAACAGAATACAGTTAACACAAACTAATAATCACCACACCTGATTTTAATAAGGTAATAAATTAAAAGAATAACATACAAATAAGTACAGCGGAGGTATTTTCAACATTAGGTATATGACCTTAAAGGGAAATTTATGAAATACTGAATAGTTTTGCGCAAGGTTTCTCGTCATGACGAACATTTCAAGTATATGGTTTTTGGGAGTGTGACGTGTAGTTTTCTCAAAGGTTCATGGGTACTTTGGGATTTATGTATGGTTTCAAGATGGGTGATATTGATTTTAACTATAGAGCAAAAGTAATGTGTATTATTGCTACGGGTTTGATTACTGTTGCTTGCCTGTCAATCAACTTATATGGTTTATTTTTTAACTGATAGCTCTATGTCTCACAGTTTTATATTTCCGTTGTTTTTTTTTCATGGCAAGAACAAAACGTTCACAAAAATACAGACATATATTTCATTAATAGTTATTTGTAGAACCAGAAACCAAAGAAGCATTTTATAACGTGAGAGAACTTTTTTTCAATTTTATCGGGCTTAAAAAGCACACAAATTTCATTTTTTTAATTACCCATCCAGGGTTGCCTAATTAGTCCCTTAGCACAGATACTAGCGCCATTACTGTACTAGCAATCAGGCCATTCTGTAGTCAGGGAATCTATAGTCAGTTAAAACCTTGCGCTACATACACTCACATCGATTTTGATCCAAACTTTTATTGACCGTCCAAAATTCTATGTTCGATATTACCAACTTCTGATACACATTCGGATTTTTAATCTTTGTCAAGCCGTTTAACGCATTCATTTATTTCTTCTCGACACTATTTAAAGTTTGTTCGATCGGTTTCTGTCCGACCATCCAAAGTTGAAGTGTGTGTACATAGCCTTATTTAATTCAGAACAGTTCGTTGGATTTTTCATCAAGTTTTCATTGTCACGAGCTGCAGATGAAAACTTTATACTCATAACTTTTATTAACAAAGAATTACTCTTTGAATCTAAACAAAATAGCTTGAAAACAAATGTCATTCAGTGACTCTGCCATGTATTTTTTTAGGGGACTAAAAACATTTGATTTCCGATGATTTCAGAATAAAAGAGCAACTTTGTCAATCCTTGGGCCAAACCCTTGAAATGACATTAAGGACTACTTTTCACAATGGTAAACATTTTAAAGTAACTAAATACTCAATAGATATACACACTCGGTTGGTCTATAGTTACACTAAATATACAAGGCTAGGCAAAAGTATGAATACCCCTATTTCCCTCTTAATAATTTAATAATTATGTATCATTCAATGGGTTTTATCATAAAAACTAAACTCTGCGCACCTCAAGTGCACTTCTTTGGCAGGCGTCAAAATCTTTTCCCCAGGACGCAAATATGTGGTATTTAAGGGCAGCACAACAATTTCAAATGTAAGGCCATATTGAGTGTCACCTCTTTATAAAAGTTTATTAATGAAGAATATCAGTAGAAACTAGAGTTCTCTATCTAAAGCAATACAATATCGCGGTCATTATAATTTGTTGTTTTGTATGATTGTAGCAAATTACAATACCTACACAATTATAACAATACATACAGAATATGTATTTCACATCCTGCAACGCGGTGGCACGCCTCCCAGCCACGGAGGTTCCAGTGTCTACGTCACTGTTGTGACGTCACATTCGCCGAAGTATCCCAGGTGATAACAGTTGGTATCAATACTGTATAAAACCGCGGTCTATCACCGGGACCGCCAATGTAGTCACTGCCTGGACCTACAGTACCATCCATCCTACCATCCGTCCCACCACACTAGCAAGTAAGGGCTCAGATGCTTACTGTAGTTAACTATCTAGGGGATCGGTGTTACATTTGTACTAAGTTCTTAAGAACTATTAGTATTTCATTTCTTACTAAATACTAATAATTGTTATATGACTAAAAGAATTGTATTTCTATTCGTGTAAGATATTCTTGACTAAAATGAATTTTTGTTTATGAATGTGTGAGTCAAAATCGTTTCCTTATATCTATAAACTCTTTTTAATTGTTATGTAACACTTATTGGACTACAAAGATATATAACTATAAAAATTCGCATGACCTTGATTTAATTTTGATTTCGAACAATTAGTAAAAGTATATATTTACTATCCGTTTACATTATAAATATACATTTACAATGTTAGAATATATTTACTCGTTACAGTTTCAACGGTTTGTTTTTAAGGTAAACCATAGTCTAGGAACCAATCATGTGTGCTTTAATACTGTACCAACAAAAGGTCTCTTGTATCATTTAATTTATTCGTTCTGTCACAAAACTTGTAACTAATTAGATAGGCCAGTTAAGTACAGTTTTAAAATGATTAAAAAATAAATCGATTGCCAATACAAGAAAACGAACGCGTCCAAGTGTGAAAGCTGTAACTCAGTGTCGTCTTGAAGCTCCTATATAACTAAGTTACTAAACAAAATGTAGATTAAATGATATAATCAGTAGAATTAATATTGCAATGTACGTAATAATTCTAGCCAGGTCGTTTTATACGGTATTTTTATCCTCGGAAAGCTAAACGAAGACTGTTGAAGTCCTGCCTTATACGTGATACGTGATCAGCCTATCTTCCAAAAAGAAGGAACAACTCTCATTGGCCAAGTGATTTGTAGTTTTAGACTCTTGAAACCAGCGTGATCTTCACGCCCAGGAAACCGAAAATATCTCAAAAGTAATATTGTATTTTACTATTTATTCAAATTAGAGGTCGTCCAGTGGTCGAAACTAGACCAAAAATATTTAATGTACAGACTTCTTTATGTTCATTCCACACTTTGAATAGAACACGTGATTGGAGTTTCTTCCATTTGTTTTGATTTTCTGTTTATATTTCGTTGTTATTTCGTCACCAGCATGGCAACTCATAATATCCATGTTAAATTTTTCAAAATTTTAAATTCATTTTTTGTGCTTATTTTTGAGCCTATTTTAATTTATAAAGGGATTCTGCACACCTACAGGAAAATAGCTTTCTAACAGTATGCGTAGATTTTCCCTACGATGCACACGAGCTGAGAAAAAAGGTTTTAAAGAAACATGCTTGCCTATTAATATATAGATAGATTTGCAAGTTAATAGGCCTATTTTTGACAAACTTTAAAATCATATTTCTACGATCCTTTTTCAAACTCCAGTCTTGTTAATATCGAATGTCAAACTGTTATTATAAGCATCATTGGCAGCCCAATGACACTATTCTACAATTGATAAATCTGATTTAACTTGTTAGATACTAAAAAAGTATGTTCGTAATTTTCATGACCTCCCTAAACTACGATACGAAACGAATTGTAGACTTGTAACCAAATGCTTTCAACGTCTTTCGGGCGGGTGGTGAAAACTAACTTTTAGAACATGTAAAAAATATCTGTTAGTATGATAATGGTCCCGTGTGTGTAGTGTTTGTACAGGGACTTCTGTTAGTATCATGGCTAGCGTCTTCTACAGCGGGCCTCGGCACGGCCGGAGTCCCCATCTTCGACCTCGCCCGACCCTTCTGGGACAACGCGTGCGGCGTCGCCTCCGCCCCGGAACCCACGGACCTCGACACCCCGGACGACGCGGACCTGGGGGACCAGGTCAGTTGGCACGAGCAGCTCGCTAAGAGTCTGCAAAAGGTACGACACCAACTCAAGACTGCCCGGGACCTCCTCGTCTATAGAGAGTTCGACAAACTGTATATAGAGGTTAGTCATGACTTTGAACAGTACAAGTACACGTCTTGTCCTATTGGAAAATCAAAAGCCTGTGTTATGTGTATTTCACGTTGTAACATAATAGGTGTGCTAACTTATGTCTACTATTTTTCTAGGAAACGTTTTACGAGTTTTGCCTCTCTATAAAATCCTCTGTTTATAAAATCAGAGGGAAAGCTATTAAAAAATTATTTTTGTTGTTGACATATTATATATGATACAATACAAGATAATACAAGATATATATGAAACAAATTGTAAACAAAACCACGCCCTGTCCATGCACTAGACGGAGCTAATATTAAAATTGTCTTCAGCAGATCCGTAAGGATGATAAAACTATCAACTAAATTTTATCCATGGCCATGGTAATAATACAGTGCACATTAGTTATAATATTTCCATTTAACTTATTTAGAACTACTGTAGTCTGTACGATGACTGTCTTGTACACAGGTGAAGCGTGGGGTGTTAGATCGTCAGTACATCCCCAACTGGGTACCCAGCAAAGGTGACGTAGAAGCTCTACTGGCCACTGAGACGTTCACTGCCAACGAGGTATGTTAGTAGCAACTATAATATACGCAATCTGGTCCTTGCATTGTTACAACACTAGGTATAGTGTGTCTTTCATATAATGGATCTCTACAGGAATAATGTTTTATGATAAAAAAAATACGTTTAATGTTTGATTTTAAGGAACATAAATCATCCGAAAGGCTCTAAAGTCGGGACAATTCTGTTACGTTTTCGAGTTAAATGCTGTTTTGTTGACCTCATTAAAACTATAATAGCTATAACACCAATACCAAACCGTCCGGTTATAGGTGTGACAATTAAAATAAATTGTGCACAATAGTTCCCTTAGAATAAACTAATTCAATAGGAAAGTACGTGGAGAAAGGTGTAGCAAAGATACCTCCAATACAAAAGCAAAGAATACAGGTATGCTGGGTTTGTTTCAGCTTGCCAGACAATTGCCTGTTCTGTTGAAAGACCTGCAGAAGTTCGCCGTGGCGTTCGAGCAGATTTACCGAGATGAGTACAAAAGCTACGACTACTCGCCGAGAGAGCAAGCATTGGAACAGCTGATCGGAACATTGAGACTGGTAAATCAGCTGAGAAAGAAATTGACATTACTCCAATAAAACCTATACACACGTTCTAATCTGCTTGTTCCTTTAAGCCTCTCCGAAAGACTTAGAACAAAAAATCTCTTAGAATAAATTCCTGTAATATATATATATATATAAAATATATACTACAGAGCCCGTACGGCTCAATAACAAGGCCACACTAAAAAACAATAAGCCGCATAGTATGAAACATAACGTCGAGGAAACTTCATACTTAAATTCGAGTAATTCTAGCTACACCTTAGAGTTGTTTGAAAACATGTTAGAAACTATAATTTTAAATATCTCTATTTGCGTCATCAAGGTTCACCTACATTACTTTATGCTGTCAGTTTTAACTGATAAGTTCTAATGAATGCTAAACGCCCTGCTTCAATTAAAGTTAACATGTTGCAAGAAAGTTTTTCCAGCATTGAGAATTGAAGAAAACTGTTACCTTACTGTTAACCTGTGTTTAGTAATTTAAGTTGGGACATTTTATTTCTTTAATTTGAGACATCCCCCTAAACCAACGAATTTTCTCCGTAGAGAATCCTTAAAATTGGGGTGATATCAACCATTTCATGTGCTCCATTTTTCACCCACAGACTCTGGGTTATCAACTGGACAGTCATAATCTGCTTTGAATGGGCTAAATCAGCAACACTATTAAAAGTTGGTTAACTTATTAACAAACATCAGAACATTCTTACGTTGTTCAGTGGAGTTTTTCTTAACACCTTTCCCAACGTTTTTAAAGTATGTATTCATTTGTCGAAATAGGTAGGAAAACTTTTGTAGCTATAAGATTTAGATAGCAATTTTGGATTTCTATTTTTGAACAGGGTATATTATTTGCCTCTCCTGAATCTATCTGATTATATGAATACGAACAATTTTTGTAGTCCATTTCGCCCATTAACATGTGCTCTCCGCAGGTCCTGTGCGAGGTGGAGTCAGCTCTGTGGTCCCTGGACTTGTCGTTCGGTCCCTCGGTGTCCCGTGACATGATGGCCCCCTCTGAGAGAGACATCGCCGACTTCACACACAGGATGATCCGAGACAACGGAGTGCTGTTCAAATACCGCGACTTCCTCAGCGGCTGGAACCGTCTCATCCGCGTCAAGCAAATAGTTCAAGCGTTGAAAAAGTAATGCAACATTTCACTCACCCCCCTGCGATGCATGCACCCTCACTACACTCTGTTGGGACCTGTTGGCCTGCGATCTTTGCATGTGCTTTGTTAAGGCTTGTGAAACTAATAGTTTTTTGTTGAAGACTGACTTTCTGTGGCATTGGGATCGAGCATGTTTCAATTTGGTGGTTGACTAAACAAAATTAACTGAATTTGTCTCAGAGCGTGAATTTAGTGATGGTTTCAGTTGATTCTCCCATTAAAAGTTTTAGTAAATGTTTGTGAAGTTTCGATAGTGATAAATGAAGCCATTTATCACTATCTATGGCTAACAAAACGGACTACTGCTTCGTAAATCAACAGTTCATGTTAAGTGTAAACTTCTGTAAATGTATTCTACATACAAGGTAACAACTGCCTTCTGCGCAATCACTTTCCTAATTGTTAAAGCATGTTCTGATGTGTTTGGTACAACTATGTCAACATAACCCAGTTTTGCTTAACATATTTGCTGTTCTAGAGATCGTTCCAATTTTTTTAATGGATTTTTAATATAATTTATTCATGTTTTTGTTTTGTCATTGTGAATAACTAAGTCAAGGATTTCCTTTTTTATTGATTGACTGTTACGATTGATGTTACACAGTTTTGTTATAGTAATCAAATGCTCTTATTCTCAATCTAATCACTGCATTGATTTAAGCGTTTCTTCATTATTGCACCATTGTATTACTTTCATAATGAATGTCATTTCATTTAGGAGAAACACACGAAACACGTAATCGATGCTATTTTATAGGCTATAATTCAACTGTTAACACATTACCTTGATATCTTTTAGTAAAACATCGGGTCTTTTTTCGTCCAACTATTTTACTAATATGTACTGTTACAGATTTCAGAAAGAAGGAAAAGCCCTACGAAAAAGTAAACGTAGTTTGAAGAAAACATAATTGGCCATACAGCATTCGCTCTATATAAGCAATACTCATTTAAGGGACCTGGTCCCACAAGCCGTTTTGAGTAAGTCCAATGATTTAAACAGAAATCTATTACTGCAAAACATATGAAAAATCACATTTTTTCTTCTATTTACTTTTTAAAATTGTATAAACTATTGACATCAAAATTGTGGCAAAGACTTGTAAAAGAATTTTATAAATTAATAGTTTATATTTTAAGGATTTAAGAATCTACAGTTCAAGACAGTGCCAGTCTTATAAAGACTGTTTTATTTTTTGTTTCAAATATTGTGAATTGACAAGTAATTTAAAAACTTGTTAAGGACTGTTCAACTTATTTAAGTTTATTTATTTGTAGTGTAGCGTTATTTAATAGTGTTCTGAATTCAAACTCAATTTAACCCCGAGCCACTACTTGCTCTGGTGATTCATTCGTTGTCATGTTTCTTAACGAAACGACTCTTTACCCTGATTGTATTTCATATATCCATTTGTAAAATGAGTGAACCATTTTTGATAAATATTAATTATAGAAATTTTAAATGGATCAAAAGTATACAACTGTTCCTCTTTAATACAGGTTAAAATACCCTTAAAGTAAACAGTCTCTTTAAACTATATCAAACCAAATGACAATTTTCATAATTAAATAAATGCTTAACTATGCAAACATTGTGTGAACTTAAGAAACGTTCTGTGATAATTTATTTATAATTTAAATTATTGTAATTAGCTGTTTAGCTGTTTTTAAGTTGTAAATCTAGTCAATTTTATTTTATAACTTTTTGTAATACTAGAATAAAAATATACAACGTACGTGCATGTTTTTTATAACCTCCTCAAATAATACTAGGAGATAAATATGATTATTTATACATTATCAGCATATACTGAACATACTCCCTTGTATTGGTTAGTCTATGGTAAGTTATGCTTTTGAATCGATTGTTTGACTGTTAGATTTTGACTTTAGTCAGAAAGAATTATTATGCTTATTAAAGTGGGTATCGAACCAACAGCCATTTCTGTGATACCTAGGATTATGACCACTCAGCTACCTGATACCACAGAATACCTACTGAGAACAAAGGACAGCAGTTTACAACTGAATTGTCCTAGCGATTGGTCATGATTACTAAGCGAAATTCCATTGTCTGTTTGAATATGTACAAACTATTTCTCAATACTAATACATGTCTAATTAATCTGCTCGCCATAAGCTATAAAATGACACCTCAATCGTAAAAATCTGTTAATAGTCCAGTCAATAAAGGGGTTGTAGAGGACATGGAGGAGGGAAAATGTTTGTGCGGGAATGTACAAGTAGGACGGTTGAAAACGGGATGTTACAGCAGAACCCGTATTTTTTTACTCTCTCCCCCTATACATAATGTAGTTGTACATGTTATTTATTTTTTATTTCTGTTTGTCGTGTATATGGAAAAGTATTGTTTGTCGTAAAAATTTTCGAGTTTGAGCTTTGAGTGGATATATCCATTGTAGGCCACCCTGAACCCAAAAGAGTGTTGTTTTCGAAGTGACGTCTGTATGTGTGGATGTATAAAGAGCTACAGACCACACCTGTAGTCCGATTTTGATTAAATTTGGTACGTAGGTACTAATCGATGGGGTCTTTTTTAATTTTAAAAAAATTTATTTTTAATGGTGAATTTCCCATAAAACCCATAAAATTTCGAAAAATCATAATTTCTAAAAAATTGCCTGAACGATTTTTACAAAACTTTAGTATGTTATAGGCCTAGTCCTTTAAATTCTAAACAAAATGGTACCAATCCCATTTCCGTAAAAAATACGGTTCAAGAGTTAACTTAAACTTATGTTATTTTCCCATAAAACCCCACATAAAACAAAAAAAATGATTTAAAGAAAAATGCCAGGTTTTCTTAAAATTTTTGTTTTATGGTCCAAATAATTCTAAACAAAATAGTGCAACCCCCATTGCTGTAACCATTACCGATCAAAAGCTATTGCAAATTTTTTGATTTTCCCTATATAATATCATAGTTACTCTCACGCATACCCGTGATAAAGGTTGTTGACAAGCTTATGGGAGAAAGTATCTGTCAGATTGCTGATACCGTTTATTTCTCTCGTGTCTACGCCAGGGAAATTTTTAATAGAAGTCGAAGTTAGTTTTAACGCTTTTAAAGGAAATCGGTCCAAACCATAGCGACCACTCCAAACCCGGTCCACAAGTGATGTGGATGTGCCAGTGTCAGGAATTGAACCCTTCCCTCCCGCACCAAAGTCCGATACGCTAACCACTCATAGGTAAAAGGAATAGATTTTTAGTTTTAAAATGGGGCAAACCTGACTAGCTTAGCCTTTTTCTACCCCATTTTACAATTTAAAATCTTTATATTTCAGCTATTTATTATTATCCTATTCAATCTTTTTGAACTTGGTATCGTTTAATAGGGAGTTAAAAATGCCAAATAAAAGTGTTCTTATAGTTTTTTTTTTTCATAAAATCTGCAATTTTTTAGTAATCAAAGTTAAAAAAATGAAATGACGGCCATTTTGAAATTTTATTATGAATCAAGATGATTTTTTTCTAAAATGGGTGTCTTTGTTACCTTAATATACATACCCAGTTTCATAATAATCGGTTGAAAAATGGCAAATATCTGGTTAACGAAGCGATTTTGGGAAAAAATATTCTTGATTTTCTCTTTATTTTGACCCATAGAACGATTTCCCGGTACCTGTTACTCGAATTCGAGCAATTGCTAAGTAATAGAGACGTTATTTTAAAACGAATGACAGTCATAATTTCTGATGACTTTAAAGATTCGACTCAAAGATTATGGAAATACTCAAGATGTACCTACATAACAGATCGATATAATAAACATTTCTTGTAAATAGTGTTTTCTACAAATAGCCTTCCTCATAGCTGCATTAGCTTGTCCATAATAACGATTATAAATAAAACAATAAAAAAACACTAGTGGCTTGTAGGGACATAAGTCCCTAAAAAGCTCAAATGGAAAAGAAATTGTTGTAATTTTTAAACAAACTCAGAATCAAATTATCTATGGGTCAGGATAGATATCTCAGTACAACATATATTTTGTGTAAAAAAACAGTTTGTTGTTTGTCTTTGTTTGCTTTTGTTGATGTTATTTTCACTAAAGAGTTTGAATGATTCCAGAGGTTTAACTTAACTGCTAACGGCAGCAAACATGTTTATGAATAAAAATATTGGTTTATTAAGGTAGGTAGCTTTGGTTTTTTGGTTAATGCTGATAGGCTTCCCCGATTGAAATACAGTATTGGGAATTGTCTTCGTCAAATAAGAAAAGGCAAAAAATGGTGTGTTGAGATAAACTTAGTTCTTGGTCAAAACCGCTAAATTAGCATCCCTACCCTACCCAGTTATTATTTTTAAGTCTATATGCTTATTTTGTAAAGGTTTAAAAAAATTAATCTTAAGTAAAGGCATCCCATTGACAGAACTTAACCCTAAATTTGTTTCTGATCAACATTAAAAAAACACTATTAGCATAGTGTAAGTATATGTGGTGGTAATCCTAAAAGTGCGATTGATTTACATATTCTACAAAAAAAGACCTAATCAACGTCTAGCTAGGCTATATTATTTGAACCTTTTTTGCTTTGAACAACAAAAGTACTTAAGTACTTAATGAACAAATACCTGTACGAACATACTTCATCTTTATTCCCAAATTGTTTTCTAAGAGTAACAGTTGAGGTTATTCCTCTTCATACAAAATATTGATTAAATACTACAATAAATCTCAAATATAAATGTTAGTAAATTTACAAAAAAGTGGGGAATAAATCTTTAACATATGTTATGAAATCAAAACAAAGAAGATCTTAATTTAATCTTGAATCGTTTCTTTAATCTTGAAAACAATTTATGTCAACTTTGACATAACTAAATAGTCTTGATTATTATGGGTAACGTTAGATCATAGACTAACCAACACAAGTAGACTTCTCATCCCATTGTAAATTTTGAAGCACGTTTTTCGTGTCTAGTTCATGTACGTGACACAAAGGCGCTAGTGTCGACGAAACTTTGTTTCTATTATTTTAGGGTTAATTTCTTGATTTGTGCTTTACTGTTTGGTTATATAACTAAGGGACAAGTTATTGTTTATGATTAGACCGTATTATTTGGTTAAACGAGGTTTTAAATGGCTGTAATAACGGGAAACAAATTGTAAACAAAACACGACCTCTACAGAAAACCGTACAGAACTAACAATAAAATTGGCTTCAGCTGTTCCATAAGGATGGGAAATCTACTAAGGGAGTATGTTCTATCTATGGTTAGATCCTTTTATATAGTTGGTTTTATATAGTATCATGGACTAAGCAACACTAGTATACATTACATTGCAGAATTGACTGGCAAATGAGTAATCCAAATGTAATATTGCTTACTTGCTTGATAAATCACAATCAGCTGTATTGAAGTAAACAAAAATACAGCAGTAAAGGCCTTCTAATGCTATGCAGGAACGGTTTCGATGGAATTTAAAAAATTCTGAAATCATACATTTGAATAACACTCTGTTTGTACCAGACTTGGCAACAAATCTAATGAGTGTCAGTAAAATAACAGATAAAGGATTTAAAGTGATTTTTGAAAAAGAGAAAGCTGTCGTCCAAAACCAAAGAGGAAATGTAGTTGTGGCAGCAGAACGTCAAGGTGGTCTTTATTATGTCAAAAGTACAAAATCTATAACGGTAAATGAAAAATCAAACTTTACAAAAGAACCTGAGATCATAGATTGGCATAAGATGGAGAACATTTTACGTTATATCTAATTTATTGTTAAGATTTTGGGAATTTCACTATTTTTCCCGCCGTCACGGGATCTAAAGAAGTTCGGCAAATCTACGCATTATCCTCTTTAATTTGAGACATAATTCTTGTAGATCGGTCCTGTAATGACTGAGAAAACAGACTTACAACTGTGTATTAAATATATAGATAGATGTGAAAGTTTGAGTGTTTTTGTTTGTTTGAAGTTCGATCATCACGCATTAAAAACTGGTCGGATATTGGGCTGACATTTGGCATGTTGGTAGGTGGTAGGTAGCTCACATTCTCGATTAACATATAGACATATTTATATCTCAAAAATCCTTTCGGGCTCCGCCCCAGTGGCTCTGGAGTTTTCCATGTTAACCATGTTTTCTATGTTTTGTGTGAATATGATTGATAGTTTACTTTTTCCTATTGTTTAGGTGCAGTGGTAAGATATTATGGCTATGATAGATGGGTTATAATACAACACACCGTTATTTTAAAGAACCAAATTTTCTCAAACCGTGCCCTCCCCCATTATGCATAGGTAAAGCAAGAGTATAACTGCAATAAGAATTTTATATTTATACGTCAACCCCGTAAGAAGGACGGGTCTGCTACTTAATAAATAATAATTTAAATACCTAGTATAGATGAAACTTACTCCTTTTTGTAGATTTCTCATCCTTGTGGAACAGCTGAAGCCAATTGTATAGTTAGTTATGTCCGGTGCACTGTAGATGTCGTGTTTTGTTTCTTGTTATTTCAGACATTTAAAAACTTGTTTAACCAGACAATACCTCCGCCGCAGCAAACCTGCGGACAAAGCAAATTTCCATTTGTCTGAATTAATTTTTAATTAAATCTATTTAAAAAAAACATTAGGTACCTAGGTTTTCTGCTACAAGGAAACAAATAAAGTGTATTTTTTAGTAAAATATTAATAGTTATGTATAAAATAAATAAATTTGCCAGGTTTGATCAAAATATACGGTACCGGTATCCGTGAACAAGCAAACTACAAAATTTTACAATATTCTCCATAAAAATAATTAACATGGGAATTTTAAATTTACAATTTTTGGAACTATCTCCGTTACCAATAACCATGCAAAAACACCTTCGGTATACTAATTTTTTTGTCTTTTTAAGCTCTTTAAAAATGTCTAGAGAGAAATTGGGAAATGTGTTTAGAGGGTCAAAAATGAGAAAGACCATTTTTTACCCCATAAACGCCCCGTAAAACCCCGTCCCAACAACCCGGTCCGATCATGCTGGTTCGCGAACTCATTATCCCGCCTTACACATTTAAACCAAATTTCATCAAAATCGGACAAAAATTACTCAACTTATCGCGTTCACGGACGTACACACACACACACACACACTCACACACACACACACACACACACACCAACACACACACATATACATATATATAATTAAATAAATATATATATTTAAATATACATACAAAAAGATTTGTACGAATGGTTTTTTTGGCCTCTGGGGACATCGAAATTAAAAAGTAAATCAGTCCCGGGACTAGGTCTTCGTGCCTCGTGCCACCTAATTTAATTTCCTAACTAGCATCATGCTAGCATTTCGAAAAAGCTTGGGAAAATTGTACAGATGAAACATTGATGCTACATGGTAGTTGAACCAAGCCAGCTTCATAAAGCAAACTAGAAAAGAAGAAGAAGAAGACAACTGTAACATGAACATGTTTAGTTGTTTGTTTTTGTTTGTTGTTTATGATAATGTTACACTTGACACTGACAGTTTAGACAGTTGACTTTTTGCACTGCACAGTGCACTTGCAGAATGCAGGGTTATGTACATGTTTTGAAGTTTAGGCAGCCTGTGGTTAGTGGAAAAATAGGCTAGGGCGTATTACTTTCAATTTATGCCAAAAGTGATTATTCAATAGTGTATATTCAGTTAAGTCTGAGCATGCAGTTTTAATTAATATCTACTGATACTGATAGTTTATTTAAGACTGGATTTAATACCTACCTATGTTAAGTATAATCATCAGATAGGCTATAGGTATACAATGGCATTTGCATTTATAATTCAAACATTTGACTCAGAAGAACCAGAACTAGCTTATTATAGGTTTTATTCTGCTTGGTCAAAAGAGCCTATTGCCACAGGCCTACCGTCTCAAAATAAAGAAGAGAGCCCTAGCTCATTTGTATTTGAATCAAACAGTGAAAAAAAAGAAATTGTGTCTTTAATAGTGAAGAAAAACCACATGCTTTATTCATTAAAACTCAAACAGTCATTGATTCCAATACAAAATCAAGATATGAAGACATTGATCAAAGGATGTTATACAGAAACAAGTTGGAAGTCAGAAAGGTTTACAGTAGTTTGGGAAGGTGTACCAGGTATTGGATTTTCATTGGTTTGTGAAGAGGATGTAAACATTTCCCAAGCTCAGATGATTCTTGATTTACTGGTGTCTGAGATGGAAAAATATTTACAAATTGTTTCATATCCACTTATTACCCCTAAAACGTTTGATTCTGTTGCATTAATAGTTGACACATTTCTTCCTGGTGGTCAGTTACTATTCCTAAACAGCAGCTTGATCAAATCTTTAGAAAAACTGTTGGAGTCTGATCTTTAACGCACAACTAGGTAAGTAACTTAGGCCTACATACACTAAGTTAGTCCTAAAGAACATTTCAAAGATAGACCTGATTTGATTAAGTAGACTAAAGTAAGTTTAGTTTACTCAGCAAAATTAGGCCTAATTGTAAGGTGATGTGGGGTAAGTGGAACCGTTCCAGGTTTTAGCATAGTTCAACTTTACATTGCTCAGGTAATAATATAGGCCTACCTACTTGTAATTGTGCACTTTTTGTACCATAACTACAACTTAGCTTTTTAAAGACAATAATAAAAAAACTTTCTAAAAAATAAAATAAGTATTAAGACAATTTTGTTTTGTGGTTCCAGTTGCCCCACCATGGGGGCAAGTTAAACCACCCATCTGAATTATAATATAGGTAGGCCGATTGCATTGAGAGGAATGAAGGACAAGTGGGTCGATAGGGAAATTTTCTGTAATTCTGGGACTTTTTGAATTATAAAAATATCTCTAAGTATCCGTTTTTAAGTTATGAACTTTTTCGTAGACCTATGCGGAAAACTTCGTAAAATGTAAAGAAACATAAAATTGTAAAATCTTATAAAAAAAGGAAATTATAAAAAAAGTAGGCCTATTAACATTGTGTGTGGTAGTATGATTCATTTGAAAAAAATGTTTTTAATATGGTTTTTTGAAATCTAGCACATAATTGTTAACTTATGGTCGTCAGTTAGTGAAAAAACCATATTCTCAGCCTCTAGAACTGTTAAACTTACTACTTGCCCCACTGGTTCTCTCCCACTGGCAAAATTTTGGGGGCATGTGTAACCTTTGAACTGATATTCTGAATCTACATGCAAAAAATAGAGTAGGTTACACAAAATAGGCCTATTGTTACCTTTACTTTAAAAATGTATTAAAAAATTTCAAAGTTTGACCTTTGAATTTACATTGAAAAGTCATAGGCCTATGTTGTAGCCTAGTATAGAGCCTTTGAAGCCTTTTTTTAAATTCAAAAATTCAGTTTTTGTTATTAAGCTTTTTTAAGGTTAAGAACCTTAAAACAAGGTCCAGAGCTTAAGAACGGGTCACACTAGGCTGGCATCAGCGGCGAAATGATAGAAGCCGGTACTGTCAGCTTAATGTGAATACAAAATTCAAACTAAATTCGTTGTGTGGCGAGCATTTGTCAGCGGCTGGCGAAGTCGGACATGTTCAACTTTTGGTAGCGAGGCAGCGGTGACTAGAGGTCACGTGACCACTTACACTCGCTGAAGCCAGCCAGCAGCGTAGTTTGACCACCTCTAGAAGCGTGTCAGCAGCGACCAAAGATAATTTTAAACTTGGTTTTACACAAAAGCACCTGTTTCAATTTTTTCAACTAGAGGTTTAACTAATTCTATTAATTCCTGGAATGTATGCGGTGACATTCGTAAAACATTTTTGTATGTTTCTGATTCATCTTATTTTAATATTTGCAACCGGCTTGAAGAAGCTTCTAACTGTTACTTTTTTTGTATCCAAGGCCTGGTCCACTAACGCCTCTTCTTGCGGTTAAGCTTCTTTAAATAAAGTTATCCTCAATTGATATTAGATTTACTGATTTATGAGGACCCAAGAATGAAATATCGACAAGAACTAACTGAGCTTTAAACTAGGTGATTAAAACTAAAAGTAGTTGCGTCTATTTGTAGCACAGAAATAGAAATGACTGAGCTTAAGGCAGGGGCCAGACGAGGAGGATGATCCGCGCGTGGTCCGACTACACATTGAATCAAATGAGAGTGGCCACACGGGGGGATCCTAAGCCGTCTGGGCGGATTGTCCGCGCCATGTCGCGGATTGTCCGCGCGATCATAAGCCGCGTTGAAGGGGATGACACACGTAGTCTTATGAGAGTGGCCACACGATACGGATTATCCGTGCGGTTGGAGCTCATTTTCAAGCATTTTGTAGTTGTTTTTTTTAATTTGTGCTTGTGCGTTTCGGTTTATAGGTGTAAAATGTTCGATACAGACGAATTAATAGAACTTGTTAAAGACAAACTATGTCTGTGGGATTACTCATGTTGTATTAGGCTATGCTGTACATTTCTCATGAGTGTATCTTCCTTAGTTATATGCGGTCGAAGCAATTGAAGTAGCTCTTCAAACTATGCTATCTACATGCGATAGTAACCAAAAAACTCCGAACTATGGTTTCGCATGTGCTCGTAAAAGGTTTGGAACACAAATGGTTTATCGGTTATAAAAAGATGGACCCAATGATTTCGGTTAACCTTAGGCTCTAGCTCACCACACGCTTCTGATGCACAAACTATAAGTGTTTCGTCCATGACTACAACGAGAACGATTGAATTAAACCATGTTCTAATCTGACCGTGGTAGGCTGGGAAACCTCAACCGGAAGCGGTTCATCCGCTCCGTGTGGCCGGGACATCGTCGTTTGGCTTATGATCGCGCGATCATAAGCCGCGCGGACGATCCGCCACGTGTGGCCCCGGCCTAAGTGGTCGGGTTTGCAGGTTATTGATTTCTTGAATGTATTCCAAAACTATGGGTGCTTGTGGGACCTCTTCAAAGAAGTAGGAACGTCAAAGATGCAGCTTACAGTGAGTTGTTTCAAAATCTCACAGCTGTTCTTTCTCACAATCTCACACACCCTGAATAATCACTTAAGTATTCGTTAACGAGGTCCCACGGACGCTGATCACCAGCGGCTGACAAGCAGCCTAGTGTGACCCGTGATTTAATCCAGCTGATAGCAGTTGATTTATATGTTGCATTTACTTGCCCCCTGGTTCCATATGATAAATAAAAACAATAGGCATAACAAAAACAAGAAGCTTTTTGGATGTATTTTATCCTTAATAAATTTATGAAGTAACTCAAAAAATTTAGGAAACAATTAACTAACTTAATGTTATAATATTAGGCCTATGCAGTTGTCATATTAAAAAACAGTATTGAAAATAGTAATAAGTTTTTACGTTACTAATCCTAAAAATAAGTGTTTGCCGGACGAGTGTGGTCGTTCCCGTGCAAGACGAAGTCGAGTACGGGATTCCCATACGAGTCCGGTAAACAAATTTCGGACGAGTGACGTACGATAGTTTACGCCATACTACTAAATCGTTACAAGTCCTTATATATTACCACCAACTAAAGGACTAAAAATCACTAGCCATAACCTCTAAGAGAGGTTATGTTTTTTACTCATTGCAACCCAAATACAGTATAATCAGCTGATTGGTGTCCGGTAAAACTCATTACAGTACAGTTGTACGCAATGAAACCCCATTTGATTAAGCTGGCGGCAAACAGGTTGGTTTTTTTTTAATTTTTCATTACATATTATTTGTTTTTGGTAACATAATATTGTTATCATTGATTAAAATAAATATAAAATATATTTATTGATTAAAATAAATATTTAATCAATGATAACAATATTATGTTACCAAAAACAAATAATATGTACGGTAATGAAAAATTAAAAAAAAACCAACCTGTTTGCCGCCAGCTTAATCAAATGGGGTTTCATTGCGTACTGTAATGAGTTTTACCGGACACCAATCAGCTGATTATACTGTATTTGGGTTGCAATGAGTAAAAAACATAACCTCTCTTAGAGGTTATGGCTAGTGATTTTTAGTCCTTTAGGCTAATGAAATCGTAAACAAATCATAACTCAATTGGATGTTTACATTAGTGAAAAAACATAGAATAGTAAATGTCATTCGTCCTACCTTGTTTATTGTAATGTTGTACATTTTTAAACGGCAATATCTTGAGAAATATTCATCAGCGGTGAAAAATAATAGTATATTTGGATTCAGGAGGTAAAAAACAATAAAGTTAGACATCAAAATTAAAAATTTGTTTGGAGGTATTTATACTAAATAATTACCCAATGGTCCTAGGTAGGCCTATTCCAAATTTACTCAACAATATCTTGAGCGCTTCTGCCGGTAGCCTACTTTTTTATGTTGAAATGGAGTGCATCTAGGAACTACAGTATTTCTGGCCATTTTGAGAACGCGCCATAAGAATTTACATTTGTCCGTAAAATGGTAAGTCTATTTAAATTTTACTAGTGTAGCACAGCTTTGTAGCCAATGTTTGAAACTATAACAGCTGTTTGTGCAAAGGATTCATTACAACAAGGGTGATCCTAGACCTATATTTTTTGGGAGGGGGAGGGTCCGGGGTTCCTCCCAAGGAAAACTTGAAAATTATGTGTGGATCTAAACGAGCAATTTTTAAGCAACTTTGAGGCATACAAAATAAATTAACCTAGTTTGATGTACAAACTTTCCAGTTTATTATTTATAAGGGCCAAGATTTGTTTTTAAACCATTGAGACTTGTTTTTTTTTCATTAACACCCGGCTTTAACAACAAAGGAATACCTCAAGATGATTTCGGTCATAATTTTATGGAGAGGTTTAGCAGAGGCACGGAGAAAAAAGGAAAGGAAAGACTGGTACACTGGTGTCTAGCCCTAGTTTTGTTGTCTAGCTAGAGCAAAGTCTAACGCCCTCATGTACTACAGCGCTCAGGGTGGAGGAAGTTTCTGTGCAGAGCCGGCCTTAGGGACGTGCAAAAAAGTACGGTCACATAGGTCCCCGACCTCGGTTGAGGCTTGGTACAAAATAAAAAAATAAGTCTGTGAACTTTACATAAGTTAGCCTAGTAGGCTATGTCAATAACTTATTAAAGAAGAAAAAGGAGGACTTATGAATACTAATATTAACTTATACCTACATTGATATTTTTGTTAGTTAACTATTATTATTGGGATACAAATTTTTTCGGTTGTAACTCCTTACAACCGAAAAAATTGAATTTTGGGCTCTGCGCTCCGCACCAGCCAAGGCCAGCTCTGGCCCTGTGCAAAAGGAATTTATGCACAGTGCCTACTATGACTCTTCTTTGCTCGTCTCAGGTATATTTCCGGCACAAAGTACTGGGGCTGATAACGCACGGTAGTCCCATAGGCAGTGTCCTGTTTTGTTGTTTACTAATAGGTAACGCTCCATGGAGAGTGTTCTATTTGAACACCAACACAGGCTAAGTGTGTTGAATCTCTCTCTCATTTCAATGCCCACATTCAGCTTAAATATTTTTGTATCAAACAATTTAATTTCATTGTTAATATTACTATTATTTATTGCTTGTAATATGATTAGTTCTTTTTATCTGTTTAAATAAATGACGCAGCTTATAAATAAATGAAACCAGACACACCCTGACACCTGAATTTTGACAGTTTGATTGTATTGTGTGGTAGGTACAACAAACTAGCGAGCTGAATATATTTCTTCTAAAATATATGTTTTAATTCTTGCAAGGTTTTATAAAAACAGTGTAGTTCCCTCAAATGTGCTTTATTTTAATTAGAACTGCATACAACTTTGTTCCCACTTCCCAGACCCAAACCTGATTTAAACATCATTACACTCTGATTGTGTGTTACACTCCTGCTATGATTATCTTTATTCTTTTACAGGCTACTAAAAAAGCAATTACAAACCGAAGTTGTCAAGAAGCCATGAAGTTAAGTAACTCAGCAAAGGACACTTGTAAGTTGTAAGCTGTGAACCTATGATTTATTATTTTACTCACCAGAGAAATGTATCAAACCTATTATTTATTAAATTATCTAGATCTATAAGCAATTCTTTTATTTACTGGCAAGCCAATGTAATGAAAGATTTGAAAAAACATTACCATGTGGGTTATTACCCTGTAGTTACCTATAATTGAGCGTAGTGAGCGACACTTTTTGAGATCGGGCCTTATTAGGGATTTTGCGATACTATTGATACCAGTGTAGGTATCGATACTTTTATTGCGATACTGCTGGTATCGTATCGGTATCGGTTGTTCCGATATTTACTTGGTATCGATACCAAGAGGCCCCTATCGTATCGTAAGTATCGGAAGGTCATTTCTGACAAATCGGAGTAAAATGGCTACGCTCGTGCCTTCTGAGCGGTTGTTTTACAAGAAGGCTGGAGGGGCTGGAGCAACAGTGACCCAAAAAAGAAACAGACTTTGACCCAATTAAATTTTTTTGTTTAGCTTATCTGATATGTGGTTTGTGTAAATTATGATTCACTATTCATTCATAGAACTATAAGTAAAACCATTGACTATATTGGTAAAACTTAAGGGTTTGGTTGCAGAGTTATTTTATTGATATGTTAGCAACGTTGTGTTAGGCAAATAAAATGAAACCATTGACTATTAAACGTCAAATAAATTAAAAAGATGGCACTAAAAGTTGTTTCAAAATTTTTTTCTCAATTTAGGCTGATGGTAAAACAAATGTGTGTGTATGCGTTGGTAATGTAATAAAATTGGTTTTTTTTAAGATTAATGATATAGGCTTAGAACAACAGGTACTTGAACTTTTACTTTAAGGTAACATTAAAAACAAAGGTTGGCTATGTTGTTTAATTTTAATTTTATCAATTTTTTACATAATTAAGTAGGTCTTAGCAGCTCGAATAACAATTTTATATTTGCTGTACTGTACTGGAGCGAGTGAACTTTAATCGAAGATCAGACAATCAGAATATGACGTCACCGGTATCGAATGGATACGATACTGATGGTATCGATACTTTGGTTCCGATACTGAGCCGGTATCGATACTTTGGTTCCGATACTGAGCCGGTATCGATACTTTGGTTCCGATACTGAGCCGGTATCGATACTTTTTTGCGATACGGTATCGATACCAAATATCGGAAAGACAGTGGTATCGCAACATCCCTAGGCCTTTTGCAAACTGTGTAGGCCTAATTAAATCATGCAATAATGACTGAACATATTGAAGCCAAACTTACCAGGGTTATTTTGACAAACATTGAGCACGTTATTTCACCAAAAATTTCAATTTGATAATGCCTGCCTGCAATTTAAAAGTAACATATTAGCCAAGACAGCCTTTCCACGTGGCTACAAAAATGGAGAATCAAAGTGAACGAAAGCAAGTCTGCACACATAACTTCCACCACCAGAACAGCTAACTGTCCCCCAGTCCACTTAAATAACATACTTTTGCCTCACCACGATGAAGTAAAATATTTGGGCATCCACCTCGACAGAAAATACCTGGCGAAGCCATATTTGGAACAAACGGCAACATATAAATTCAAAGTTTCGACAAATGGCCTGGCTCATGAATAAAAATTCAAAACTGTCAATAGAAAATAAATTATTGCTTTACAGGGTTGTCCTCAAACCAATTTGGACATGGCATTTCTTTGTGGGGAACAGCTTCAAAATCAAACTTGTATATATTACAAAGATTTCAGTCAAAATTACTAAGAAACATCCTGAAAGCCCCTTGGTATGTATCCAACGTCACCATTCACAATGATTGTAAAATTCCATTTGTTACTGATGAAGTTACGAGTTGCAGTAAAAAATACATCTCCAAGCTTGAGTATCGTCCGAACCATTTGGCCCTCAACCTCCTAGACAACTGTCAACATGTCTACAGACTAAAAAGAGAAAATGTTTTAGACCTTCCGACTCGATTTGTACAGCAGCTCTGAAATTTCTTTTTTTCTATTTTTGTTAGTGCTAAAGCTGTTTAGCTGCTAACTCATGTTTTCCAATTTTTATTTTATTTATATAAATGTTATCATACCGAAAGTACTACAGGGCATTAGGAGAATAACACTGATTAAGGCTGCGTTTACTTTGGAGGCAAGCTTGGGTAGGTAAAATCGAGGCGCCCGCTTGGCCTAGCTTGCCATTAGAAACGAAATTGTAGCAAGTTACTGGAAACCTGTGGCGACTTGTCCAGTCATGGTTACAGTGTTTACTACTAGCAAGCGCACCCAGGGACAAGCCTGCGCTACTCCAATCAGGAAACAATAAAATTTGTTTCTAGAAACAAGTGTGCCTCAGTTTGTTGTGGTCCACTGAAACAGCAGCATTGGTTACTTGTGTAACTGTTGTATAGTGTTGTTAAGTTTCTAGTTGTTCAACATTGATACTGTGTTCAATTTTTAGTGTTATTTTCTCTGAGATTAGTAAAATGTTTCTGGTATCATTCTAAAATATTCATAGAACTTATCTGGTTAGTTTAGATCCGCGAAAATCCGAGCGTACTCCCCTCCTTCTTCTCGATCCATAAAAAATCACATACCCATTCCCCCTTAACCTTCGGAGTTTAATAATAAAAGCTTCAGAACTCCATTCTCAAGTACAATATCTCAGCATCTGACATTTCCACTTTGACGATCTGTCCTTCTGGGACTAGTGGGGGTGACCACTTGCGCTTTTGATTGCCCTTAGACCACACCTTCGACACAGCACGCTTGCGCAAGTGTGCGCCACTACAGTCCACAATAGTTTTCATGTAATGGAACTTTAGAGTTACACACAAACATCCATACTTTCACATTTATAATATTAGAAATATAAGATAAGATTATGTGTAAGAAGGTAATAATAATTGAATATACATTTTGTTAAGAGTCTTCTTCACCCCTGCGAAAACAATAAAAATATGCCTTGGACGTCCCTCGCTCTGGATGTAATGTGTGAAGATGTAATGTTGAAACTTTTTTCCCTTACAGATTAATGTTGTTTCTAGGGCCTTCATACATGATATATCCAAGAAAATCAATAGTATAAGTACAAAACAATCTTAAATCAACGTAAATTGAGTGACTTTTAAACACTTAAAAAACTAATTATTTTTTCATTTTCAACCTTTTGAGGTATGAGAGCTCTAATAAAACTATTCAACTACATTGATGCCAAATTTTAAGAACATCTGTTGAAATTAACATGTTTTGTCAGAGGCTACTTCGCTACTAGCCTTTTTACAAAACTTGGCTCAGGCGGCAGATGAATCACTGACGTGTCTTTATGTATGGTACAAGTAGTTGTGTGTTTACGATGTTTTCATAATGGCGCGCATAATGACCCCGCGCTACCCTCCCGTCTACAACACCTTCCCCCCAAAGGCCATATCCCCAAAACGCAGGGTGATGAAGACTCAAGTGTGCTTCAACTGTACAGGGTGTCCCAGACCGCCCGGCTGTCTTCTATAGCTCCGATATGAAAGCAAATAGAAACCTAAATGCAACTGGAACTCTCTATCTTGACCCCAAGAAATCCAGGAATATTATTTTTAAACCCAAAAAGTACCCTAATGAGCAGATTTTGGGGGGTGGGGGTAGTATTGGGAAATTTTCAAATGTAATGGGGGGTCGTGTTATACCTCATTTGAAAGGTATTTGAGTCCTGAGTATTTTAGTGGAAAAAGTTTTAAATGATCTTTATCCCTATTTACAGGGTGTTCAACGACGTACAAAAAATATATCTTTGAACTATTTTTCACTGCAAAAGTTATCTGCCAATAATTCGCCTCCCAGCAACATTATTATTAATCATTTTGTTCATGAGAGACCAAGAATATAACATAAAATTTGTTATGTTAATAATTAAATCAATAATTTTGCTTGTTAATAACATATAGATCACCCATCTGGGGATTAGCTATTTAAAAAAAATATCTGTTCAAAATTGAAGTAATCTAAAACAAAATTTTTAGAATAGCGAGGAATGCTCTTTGGTTTGTTAGAAACAAACATTACACGAAGAGCTTAAAAGAGTAGAGTCTATTTTGACCTTCATTAAAAAATCCATCTTCAAATTTTTAAAATCTCCATACAATGTTAGTGGAGCACTGGCGTTCAATCTCGGTGAAACAACAGAAAATAGAAGATTACGCCGAAGACTTCCTCAAGACTTGTTGGACGATGCCTAAATAAAATTAAATATGTTGACCAGGTACTAGGAGGTCACTAATTGTGGATATTTATAGGCATGCACTGTGGATGCGATACTCCCTGGTGTGGATTAACGTTTACGATTATTCGCAGTACTATCCTGATAATTAGACCAATTTGTATATACCAAGGCAAAAATGTGTTTCGGATTCCACTATAAACTGCAGATCCCTTAGTTGCCATTAGCTGTACATGGGCTATTAATTAACAGCTGTGTCTAAGGAATATGTTGGCCTTAGTCACTAACAAGTCTACAAGACTTGGCTTAAATCACCTACTTTGTATGGTCGCCATTTCATTGAAAAGTAAGGTGTCTCAAGTCTGAGAGGACCTGTGATGTTATTTATGCTATTTTCTTTTTTGGGTGCATTTCCTTAACTCGGCTAACCTAAGTTAGGCCTACTATCGATTGAAATGATCAATTGTATGTTGTGTAAGATAGGGGATTAACCCTGTACCCACGGTGATCATCAACACAAACAGTCTGCAGTCTGTTTATATTACACTTGGTCGACCAGTTGGTGTGAAAAGAGTTGAGCAGTAGCATGTGCATCAATTTTTTACATTCTTTTCCCAGCTAATGTGAGCTAGGCGATGACCGGTCGGGCTGACTTCTGAGAAACAACTATAACCTATAATCCACACTCACTATTGGTAATCAGCCAATGCGAAGGTCTAATGAAGAAGATGCAGGGGTGAGAAGTGTTGGAGTTGGAGGACCTGGGAGGAAAATCGAGAGGAGATAACCGCAGACTGCAAGGAGGTTTGGAGTGCGTGTCTGTGGCCGCTTGTGCTTCAAGGGACCTTCGTCAGTATTAAAAATTATATCTAAATTTATAAAGATGAAAACAAA